TAGATTATATATAGCATCTTACATACATATATATATATATATATACGCATATACATATATATATATTTAATTAGCATCTTACACACATGTATATTTATATATATGTGTGTGTGTGTGTGTGTGTGTGCATGGATGTATGATGTATATATATATATATTTATAATTTTTTTTCACAAGTATAGCAATATGTATGTACAAACTAAAGCGCCTTCACTCGCAAGCAGAATAAAACGTCATTTTGCGGTGATGGTGTGAGTATGCAAGTCAGGTATTTGCATAGATATATAAATATACATATACATATACACGTAGCTTTTTTGCCGTGCAAAAAAATGTTTATATGCGCTGTTTCAAAATATACAATTACGCGCCTATACACAGCATGTCTTCATTGCACCTCATACCTCGTCGGAATCACCTTCCCCCACATCAACTTCCGCATCTTTCCCCTTGACAATCTTGCGAGATCTCTTCCTAACCTCATGCAACTCGCTTTCACTTACTTCGTCATCCATGCTATCCAATACCTCTTCGTCATCCTCTCGTTCTAACTCAAGCTTCTCTTCTTTAGATATCTTGTATTCATCGTCGCTGTTGGCGTACCTGTCGGAATCGCTGTCAGTTTCGGATGGCAGTATCCCAGTGAGATCACCCCCCTCATCACTACCTGAGTCGAATACATTCTGATTGTCTTGTCTACTTTTAGACTGTACTCTCTCTATCGCCTTCTGTCGGGCTGCTCTTACTGGTCGCCCCATACTCTATGCCATTTATGACTTGATAGAGTCTGGTCTTTTCTGTATGCTTGTCGATAGGATAGTAGATTCATACACTCGCCTATCAGGGACCTATAGTTCAACTCTTACCATGTGGCCGTATATACGCGGGTGAATAATGCGCGTATACACATAGTAGATACTCGTTCAGGGCAGGACAATGAACGGCAATATTGTTTCTTCTATTACACGTAGACTTCACTCAATAGACGGTGTGTCTGAATGTTGCTCCTACGTATCGTATATATTTATATAGCATCAAAGCTGCAGAGGTATAAAATACATTTCAGATTGTCTCTATAAAACTAAAACACACAGGTGACACCTCACTGACAGGCCTGTATCATGATTGTTCGGCTGTTAATTGCCGGCACGGGGTCGGCTGCCAAGGTCTTCAACATGACGCCCAAGCGCTTCAATTGGCCCTAAGAGCCAACCGAACGCTATTATCGAATACAATCGCACTTAAACCTATTTGAACACTATTATCGAATACAATCGCACTTAAACCTATTTGAACACTATTATCGAATACAATCGCACTTAAACCTATTTGAACACTATTATCGAATACAATCGCACTTAAACCTATTTGAACACTATTATCGAATACAATCGCACTTAAACCTATTTTTATTTTTTTTCGTTCGCTATAAGATATCTGCCCGTTGGAGTGAAAACGGGCGGGAAAATCATAGTCGATGCAGTGTACAACTGTACGTATAATGTTCTACAATCACTCCAATCCCTTTTACCCCGTGGCCCAGTGCGAGCCGTATGTATGTCCATAAAGAATAACCCTAACAACCCTGTGTGGGCGCACCCTATATCAGCGTGATAGATATGTGTACATAATTAGAAATATGTTTGCAGCAAAATGAATCTATCTATTTATTTCACGCTTGCCAGCCTCGTCCCGCATTCACAACACAATGTCGTACAATTTCAGTCCCATCTCATCCCGCGACTCGATTGCGTTCGCCTGTTCTCGTCCTGGGTTCGCGAAAGACAATGAAAGTCCGGGAGCAGTAAAAGGTACGCAATTATCCATGTACTAAACAACTAAGCGTGCGCGTTTGACTGGCATGCCAGTACATAAATGTGTAAACATACATACACATTCGTATGAATATCCATACGAATTATACATATATATATATATATATATACGTACGTACGTACGTACGTACGTACGTATGTATGTATGTATGTATGTATGTATGTATGTATGTGTGTGTAGTATGTACATATAC